CATTCAAGTTTATCCCGCTTTACACCTTTAAACCAAATTTCATCAAAATCGGACAAAAATTACTCAAGTTATCGCGTTCACGGACGTATATATATATATATATATATATATATATAAGTCTATATATATACATATATATATATATATATATATATATATATATATATATGAAAATTTGAACGAATGGTGTTTTGGCCTCTGGGAACATCAAAATGAAAAAGTAAATCGGTCCCGGGTCTAGGTCTTACCGTGCCACCTACGGTAATAGCTACTTCCCTATAGGGAAATTCGCTAAAACACACAAACTTTCACATTTATAATATTAGTAAGATGGTTTAACCAAAATACCCTCGACGCAGCAAGCCTGCAGACTAAGCATTTTTACATTTAACTGGCTGGATTCACACTAAAATAACCCCTAATATTGTCAGATTTATTCCCTATTTAAATAATACTATACTCCGTTCAAACAGCCGTGGCACCTGACGGATTAGGAGACCCCATGAAAACCCTTGGGTCCTCCTCCTCCCCCCCCCTCCCCCCCAGGTGCCACGGCTGTTTGAACGGAGTATAATTTTAATGAGTATGCCTACTGAGGTTTTCTGCTACAGAGAAGGTTGTAAAGCTTATTCTTTTTATTGAAATGTTGATAGCTTGGTATGAAATAGTCAAATTAGATTGAAATATATCCATCAACAATCAAACTATAACAGTTTACTATATTTATTCTCCAAAAGACTAATAATATGGCATTTTTCTAATTTTTTTTTAAATCCGAAAATGTGGCGTCCAACAACGCTTCAGGCGGGAGCAGTACTGTACTAAAGTATTTGTGTTTTAGCCTACACTATACAAAATAGTATGGATAGGAATTGCAATATTTGGGGGTCAATAATTTTACAAAAACCAATATTCACCCCATATCCCCCATACAATCCCGAACTCTTAGTCCAATCATGATCGTTCGAATAAAATGTAGATTTACACACGTATGCCATAGCCCTATTTAATCGAAATCGGAAAATATGATTACTAGTTAACTAGAGGATATTCAACACACATTTCAACACTCAGGATATTCAAGTTCATTTATATATAACCGGTCAAAAATAACTACTGGTGCCAGAAACTAGAGTATAATATGTTGACATGGACCATTGGTCTCACAATAGGGGATTGAGCTACGGCGATGAGGACTCTCAGACCCGCATAAACGCTAGGTAAACGGTAATGAAAGAAAAGAGATGGATGGGTAGGTTTGGTCGGTCGCTCGATGGAGGAGGCGGGAGGCACGTACATAGTACTGGAGCTGGAGATGATAGCAGGCCTCAGGCATGGAGCTGCGGTAGACTTTCTGTGGCGACCTTGAGGAACATTCCAGGACACGGTTGATCTCAGCCAGCAGCCAGCCAAGATAAGAGGTCGGTAGGAAATGCAAATTGATATCCTGATATTCCAATAGTCAGTGCCATGAACAGATATTATCCTGATTGTCTTATCATCAGTGCATAATGCAAAGATAACATATGATGATGTGCGTATGCTGGAATGGCCGGTGCACCATGCAAAGGTAATAAATACCCTAGTATTTAAAAGACCGAGTCAGCATGCAAAGATAAGTCCTTATGCTCCAGTAAGGTAACGTACAAAGGTATAACCCGATTGCTCTAATGGCTGGTGCATTTTGCAAAGATAATTCTGGTAAATATCCTGCACTTTAATTGGTATATAATGTAAAGATATCCTAATACTCTGATGTCTAGTACGCCATACTATGATAATACCCTTGGCCTTGTGCTCCGGAGGTCATCACATCAAGCAAAGCTATCTTAATTCTCTGATTGGTAGGTACATCGGCAGTACATAATGCATAACACGAGTCATTCTAAATATTTGATGGTTGATACTGCTACGTATTGCAAAGGTAATTTCCTGAGAATCCAAGATAAGACCTAAACCAAAAACGATTCATGCCCTCAGCACGTTATGTAAACATGACATCTCAGCAAGTCACTTCACTACCACTACTTGAAATTAATGTACCACTGAGAGTTCTGAACGTGTCATTTGTGGAATCAGATAAATTGGTAGTAGTCCTCATCTGTAGGCCTACAGTACTTATGTTTCCTACTATTCGTGACGAACGATTAAAGTGCAAGGCATCACTTTTTTGAAGAAACATTGCGGAGGGTCTACAGAGCCTGTGCTCGAGTGTTAATGAGGAGAGGGATACATCACCTGCAGCCACCCCTGTGTGTGTGCAAATCTCGACCCAGCAGTCAGCCTTGACGCTTGTTGCACATAAGCTTGTACAGTAGGTTGCCGCACCTGGAGAGAATGACTCATGAGGAATGCCGCAGTGTAACCGATTCTTTGTCTTCTACATTCCTCATTCCTCTCATACTGTCATACACCCTAGCCTTGTCCTTCTGACAAAGGCCATTCGATTTACTGTGCATTGTTTCTCCAACCACAAAGTTAGTTGAACAATAATTTTAGTGTGTTTAAATGGCATACTGTATTATCCATGATTGTTTTTTGTTCATCAACTTCCCTATAGAAAAGTTGTTATTAGCGTAAGTGGCACGGTAAGACCTGGGCCCGGGACCTATATACTTTTTCATTTTGATGTCTCTACGTTCAAATTTTATATTTACGTCCGGGAACGCGAAAATTTGAGTAATTTTTTTCAGATTTTGATCAAAATTTGGCTTGAAGGTGTAAGACACGACAAACTTGAATGAGTTTCCGAACCAGCATGATTGGACCATGGGTACCGGTACGGGGGTAGAGTAAAAAATGGTTCTTCTCAATTTTGACCCTTGGAATATAATATTTCCTAGTTTATCTTTAAACCATTTTAAAGAGCATAAAAAACAAATAATTTAGTAACTTATATTGAAGTGTTTTTGTACGGTTATTGCTTACGGAGACTTCAAGCGCGCGCACTCGTTTTTTTACGCTGGAGCGCGTGCCCCCGGATAAGTGGACCCCAAATAAAAGTGGGTGTATAAACAAAGTTTTTGATATTTAGCTCTTTATACTTAGACATAATGTCTATATTCATTTTCTCATTTTATCACGTAAATTTTATGATATTTTCATATCCTTAGGGGCCTACCCTATTTTGAAAATAATACTTAGTTTGAACCCTTAAATTTTTCATGATGAAATAATGGTGTTGAAGAGGGAAAATTTGTAGTTAAACAAGTTTTTATTTTGCAAAAACAAAAACTAATTTTTAATTTTACAAAAGTATAATTCATGTAAAAAAACTATGGAAGCAGTAAATATTTAATGAATTACGGTACAGTAATATATTTCCCGGTTTGTAGGAAAAACTAAACAAAAATATTTAAGAAACAACTTGCTTTGGTATAATGTGTGTTTTCTTTAAATCCTCGTCCAGTGGGTTGGTTTAGAAGTCATTTTTAAACACACTTTACATATTTCACATTTGTCTTTGGCACATTTGTTTTTTAAGGTTTTTGGCGTCTATTTACCAAAGCAGATGGTGCACCGCACCTTTTTACTGGGAGGCTAGATCAGTGGACTCTATGGTTGGACATTTCCATCCAATTGGTTTACAGATAGGCCTACTAAGTGTTTTGACAAACTTAGTTAATACTATCAAAATTAGAAATTATAGAGTTATTAATACTAATTATGATAATCAAACTGAGACACTACTACGCGCACGGGGGTACACTAGACCCCCCAATGAACTGAAATGGTAACACAAGCATGACTACAGGCTGACCACCTGTGGATGGGCGCAAGCACATTTTCCCGCCTCTCCCTAAAAAATGGCATAGGCATAGACTGACAACGACACGCCGAACTCCCGAAGACTAGATAGTGCCGATAGTGGGGTCGGGGTGGGGAGACTCAGTCGGTAGTCGCCCGGTAGTCTATAACCGACCAAGGTTAGCGAGCCCCTGTCAGACAGAGCATTGCTTTTTGCCAGCACTATCGGCGCAACGGAAATGACACAATTAACTCATACCAACTGCAGAGCTTTTTTCTATTAGTACAAAATGATTATCAACTTCCAGCTTGGTGCCAACTGCGTCGCCCGTCGTGAGAATGTGTGTTATTATCACGTTAGCTGTGTTGCTCATATGCATGCATACGTTGACAGTGGAAATGAACATTGAAACTGGGCTAGGCCTTGTTGGATGGACAGACGTAAACATTCCAAGAATGCAACGGATCAGCTCACGTGTGTCATGCCCATGCCATGCGAGGGGAGAAGACGAACAGACGAGGGCCAGGAGAGACAATAGAGGCAAATAAACAGCTTTATAACACTGTTCTCACCCACCATACGAGAACGTTAGGCAGACAAAGGTTCACAAGGGTTATTGGCACCTTCGAGGAATAAGTAAAATATTCCAAAATGGATCTGGCTCCGTTCTCTAATTAAATTATCACTTTTAAATAATATACCCTACTGTACAACACAGGGTTGCAGTATGTCAATGTGCTGTGACGTAGAAATTATAAATATCAATAACCAACAGATAGGTATACAGAATGATTCTATTAAAGAAACTACCTAATACAACATGCTGAGTTTAATTTTAGCCATAATTATCCTAAATGTTGTTTTCAACTCAACGTATTCTCATTGTTTAACCGTTAAATTCTAGATGCAAGGATATCAACATCATTCACATGCAAACATTATCGTTGAAGAAGCAACTGTAAAAAAAACTCGTAGTTCGATAGTACTGTACAATCATTTAAAGTTATTAAGTTATGTTTAAATTAAATGTTTGACTAGAATTATAAATGTTTCATTGAATTGCTAATAAAGTAAACAAAAAAAAGTATCAATCGTTGTTGTTAACACTATAAGTAAAGTTGTAAAGGAAAAGATATATGCATGTTGAAAAAAATTTAATGTTTGTACTAAGTTAGCAAAGTGAAGTAAAATTCAGAGAGGGATGTGTGGCGTTATTTATTTTTTTTAACCAATGGGTGTAATCTCGATTTACCTGATCAGCAGCTCCAAGGTCGGTGAGTTGATGATCTCTATCCATTTTTAAATCCTCCAGAACTATATCACCATAACAGTGTTTATAACAAAATATAAAACTGAATGGCACTAAATAGAAACAGAGAGCACTTCACTTGACTAAAACATCATAAACTAAACTCCGCACAAAATATAGGCACTGCACATAACACCACTTTCCTTCGGCTCACAAACAGGACAACACCACTGGGTAAACAAACATTGGTCTCCATGCTTGGTATTTATTGGTAATATGGCGACTGGCGAGTGAAGAAATCTCGACTGATCACAACGACGGCGCACTGCCGCTGTCAGTGACTTTCTCGAGCTGCAGACATGGTTGCCAACTGTGGCGCGACGAATAGTTCTGTAGAAACTCGCTTAGCAGTAGTTGGCACGAAGGCGCTATGCGCTAGCGCTAGGACACCAGGACACTGCCATGCGATGCAACGGCAAAATCAAAACTGACCTTTGAGATGAGGTTTTCACTTGAAAGAAAGTCGGTAGAAAACGTGTTTTGAACAGTTTTCGAATGAGACACGCCCGGCGATGACGTCACCCAGGTAAACAGGTTCTCGGAGCCTTGCCTCGGTCTAACCACCTGTTCAGGGGGGGGGGCAAGATGGCAGCATCCCTGCTCCAGCCCCGCGCAACTGCACCGAGTCATTTGAATTTTCAAACTTTTGTTTACGTTTGTAAATGAGATTTTGCCAGTCTACACAGAACTGAAGGGTTTGCTCTGACCCTGACCTGTTACATTAAGCCGCGTTTACACCAAAGTTGACAAACAAAAGTTGACAATCAAAAGTTTACAACTAAAAGTTGACAACTAAATGTTGCTCCTCACTAATTTAGAGCAACTAGTGGAAAACTTGTTGCCTAAGAATAGGCGCGTAATAATCAGTACAGTGTGTCAAAGATGTCGTCGTCGTCGGACGTATGCCTTACATGCCATTATCAAACGTCCTACGATTGTTCACAGAATATTATAATTGAGGTGTCATTGTTAAGCTTATGATCTCGATCTAGTGGAGTGACTAAAATAGTAGATTTCGTACCTAGGGCCGAAAATGAGGTTTTGCCGGCTCGAGATAGTTCGAGACGAAGTCGAGAACTTAAAACGATCAAGATCTTCATAACCATATAGGTCCGTGGTACAAACGCTATTTTTCACCTTACTATTCCCTATTACCACTATTCACCACAATAACAATGCACACTATTAGTCAACACAACCATAACTTTAAGGTTATGTGAAGAAATATTTTGGGGAATCAGCAAAAATAATAATAAGTATTTGCTAGGTAGCGGTGACAATAAATCAATTATACTGTATTGCAATGCTATGGATACTGATTGTGTTACAAGGATACTGAATGTGTAATATGCAAGGAAGCGGGCAGCCGATTTTCTAGGGGATGTAAAAACCTGTTCGGTTTACAAATGACGATGACATATAGCATAGATATCAATAAACTACGTAGCTTTCGGCCTCCCATAAACGTTTATAAAACGGCTAAAACATCGTAGTGTGGTGAAAAGGATATTTGTTTTAGAGCACTTTATCCTTTGATTATTTAGAGTTGTTGATTTCAGTGATGCCGACCTGCAATGATGTCTTTACAACAGATTAAATGCAAATTTTAATGTGAACAGCTACTTATTCACTCGAATGTTTAAACAAAGTCGGATTGTAAACATAGGACAAAACAGTTTATGAAAATGGATTTTAAATAGGCTACACCCTTCATGCCGTAAATTGTAAATTAGTAGATTCATCTATCTATTAAAGATATTGTTTGTATTTTCCTTATGTATAATGCGCTGCATCATCAGACACGAGTTGTCAGATATATGAGATGTGCTGGGCATAATAGGGAGGCTAGTTCCGGAAACCGGCATATGATGTCATCTTGTACCTACAATCGCTATAAAATCTCCAATGCGACTAAACAAATTTTGCACTGTAGCATTTGAAAGTCAAGAACAAACAAAGTACAGAAGCTAATCTTGTAATGCAAGAATAAGTATACTGTATCTATGGATTGTATTACACGAATATGCGCTGCTCTCACTGCGTGTGTTGGAATGTCGATGGTTGGAACGCAAACAATCTTAGATACACGACGCAACAAAAAACATAAAACAACAAACATAAAAACAAACACTCCATGCAATTATCTCAGCTGATTGGGTCAAACATTACAATGATTATCACAATGAACATTACCACACTATGGACATCGATAAAGATTAACTAACTTTGAGAGATTATATACGTGAGCAAAGCTACGACGGGTTCTGATAGTTTTTTTTTTATATTTAAATCTGCATAAAGACAAATTCTGACAGTAATGCAAATAACATTGTAAACAAATGTTACGTAGCGACGTATTTCCCAATTTTTCATGCGTCAGTGAAAAGTAATATAAGAACATATGCATAGCATATTATGTATTCTTGCAATGTGCTACAAATAAGAAAAATATTACAGAAATAGTATTACACCAATCAAATTCATGGAGATTTCAAACGATTTAGTGCTACGTCATATCCAATTTATGTGTAAAGCCGATATCATATCGGTTTTTCACATAAATTAGACTAGAGCACAGAGAGACATTAAAAGTTGAAGTTAAACTGCTCACAGCCCACTGCCTCTCTCCAGTCTCTACACTGTTGTTTACAAAACATTCCACCTGTAACACAGCTCAAGCACAGAAAACATACTACTATAACCACAGTTATAGTAGTATGTTATAGTGGGCTATAGTAGTACGTTTTCTGTGGCTCAAGGAACAAAAAATATACTAGGTGTACAATGCAGTTGTCTGCTTGCAATATTGAGCGGAGCTAGCGTATTAATCAAATACTTTTCTAAAGTCAATGCTACATTTGTTTCTCGTAAATGAAATATATACTTGCAGTATCCAATGTCAATGGTATATTTGATTCACATAAATGAATTGTTTACTTGCAGGAACCAAAGTCTATGTTTAATCTGGTTCTCATAAATTAAATGTCTACTTGCAGTGTCCAAAGTCAACGATATATATTTGGTTCACATAAATAAAATGCCTATTTTACACCTGGTTCACTTATATGGAATATATATTTACGGGTTCTAAAGTGAATGGCACGTCTGGTTCCCGTAATCGAATTGTTTATTGGCAGTATCCAAACTTAATAGTACATTTGGTTCACGTAAATGAATTGTCTACTTGCAGTATCCTAAATCAATAGTACACATGCATACATAAATGGGAAATCTACTTGCAATATCCAAAGTCAATGGCCCATTTGGTTCACATAAATAATATGCCTATTTACAGTTATTCAAATTAAATTCAATGATACGTCTGGTTCACGTAAACGAATTGTTTACTTGCAGTATACTCAATGGTACATTTGGTTCACGTAAATAAATTTTATGCTTGCACTGCTTGCAGGATCCAAAGAAATGGTTCATTTGATTCCATTTACGGAGTGACTATTTGCAGTATCCAAAGTCAATGGTACGTGTAGTTCACATAAATGGAAAGTCTACTTGCAGTATCTAAACTCAGTGGTATCTTTGGTTCACACCTATTCAAAGTCTCATTATTGAATTGTACGTCTAGTTCACATAAATGGAAAGCCTACTTGCAGTCCAAACTCAATGGTAGGTCTATATTTGGTTCAAATGGAATGGATATTTAGATGATTTAAATTCAATGGTGCATCAACCTTATTCCGGCGACCATAATTATTTGTTATTCATTGTGTAGTAAATTGTGCTCAATGACATTAATCATTAATCTAATTGATTGTTCTTCCATTTTCTCTGTACGGTATTTGTAATGTGCATTTAGATGATTCGTTGACTAACATTTTTATGTTGCGACTCTTGTTTACCTGTTTATTGTTATTTCGCAAATAATGTTACAGCAACCAACCATGCCATAAGGCCCATGTTAAATTTCCAAAAGTTTAAATTCACGTAGGAAAAAGCCCTGTGGTACAATTTGTACCATTTCAGATCTATACATTCCCATGGTTGGTTCTATGATTGTGCTAAATTTCGTGCAGATCGCTTCAGCCGTTCAGGAGGAGTATTTGTAAAACAAAAACCGGAGTGTAGTGAGAGCTTCGCTCCGCTCAAAGGTTACCCGCAGCAAGGGATGTGAGCAAGAATACTCGCCAGACAGACAAAGCGTTGGTAACCTTGAATGGCAATGAATGTCGTGGGAACACTCGACAATTAAAACCCCTCGTCGGCCCGCGCTGTAGCTATGTCTAGTCTAGGCTGCAATCGCAATGATGCCTAGTCCAGGGCCCACACTACAACTCCCCAACCTAACCGCATGCATTGGGTATTCACTCTCGAAAACCCCCTCGTCAGCCCTGAATAATGTTTGACAGGTTTAAATTTATACAATACAACTTTGTTTGACGTCGTCGTGTAGAACTCCCGGTTTTTATAGAATTCCACTTTACGAGGGTCATAAGAGAATTACGCAAACAATTGAAAATTATTGACAAATGTAATTTTTCTAATATCTTTACGACATTAGCTAGGAACCCCTCAGTGGTTATAGTGCTCTCCCGTGTTAGCTTTTGATGGTTCGAAACTGGACCCAGCTGTCCTGTTTATTGGACTTTCAATAAATGGTCTTTACTAATGAAATAGTTAATCTTAGTCAGTAGCCTACAAGCTACAAAGCTACACAGCAAGCCATCTAGCTTCATTCTATACTCATTCGTCACTCATATTTGGGTTAAAATACACATCTCAATTGATAATAATAATAATTATCCTGATAACCAAACCACTGATGGTCATACCCGTATATCGCGCGCGCTGCTGACTCTACAGTCTACAGTATGGTAAGTATAGTTTCACCTGTGCATCGTTGTTGTTGTTGTTGTTGTTGATGGTGGTGGAGGTTGTCCGACGTATGACGTGTTCCAGCAGCCCCATGGTCACTGTCACCGTGGGCCCACGCCGCGCCGCGCCGCGTGAGACAGACTGCCGCATGTCTAATTACGTCCCTCTACTCACACTTCACGCACCGCGGCCTCTCCCTACAGCGGAGGAGGGATCTGCTAACGTATACAGTACAAGTATTCAAATACCCGTGGAAAATATAGACAGGTGTCGAGAAACGCAACTTATCACCTGATGATGTTGATTTCAATAGCATGTATCTCATGAGTATTGAATGACATTGAGAACTACAGAAAATCTTCATCATTATTTAGGTACAACACTAGGCTTAATCACTCTATTTTCTAAATGATTGTGTTTGATTAAAAATGTCCTCAACGTAAATTAATGTAGAACTGTTTCCAACTATTCTTCTGGCAATGCAACCGTTTGTAAATGACACTTAGGCCTACTTACGTGAAACAGCGTTTGAAGGTACATAATAATTTGTGCAGTAAAATTGTTAGTACATATACGCATGGTTCCCCCTGA